AGAGAAGCGAATTAAATAGTGATCGCTTGTATTAAAAGATCGTGATCATTTTAAGATATTGGATCATTTTAAGAAATGTGAAAAATATTGGAGATCGTTGGAACAATCGGTCCCAACGTATCTATCGAACCATGCACACATACAAATACACATACACACACACACACACACACACACACACACACACACATATATATATATATATATATGTGTACGTACATACACGTACGCACGCATACGTTAACCATTTACGCGCGTGCGTATATCTATGCATACACTCACGTATCCGTTGTCCTTTCATTATTTATTCAACGATCTATGCATTCGTAATTCGGTGGCCCCTCGTTCGTCGACACTTTTTTCCTATTTTTTCCCCTCCTCCATGGTAGCCAACGGGAACGCACGAGCTGCCGCTTTTCCGTGCCTGAAAATGAACGATGTTACGTGTGCTCGTCCTTCTACATGGACACGTACTCCGGACAACCAGAAAGAGAACAACATGAAAAAGCCCAAGCGCACTTTATTTTGTTCCAACCTCCCACAATTTTTCTCCTTCTCTTTCGCCTCCTCGTGCTCGTGCTCGTGCACATCCTCTTCGTCCTACCTCTTCATATCATCCTGCAAACGACTGAAAACGAGAATCGTGTTGTGATAGAGATCGTCCGACAAATGGCATATCATTCAGGGATGTTTAGGGAACAGTATTGTTCGTATCGTATGTGAAATAATAATAAACGATTATAAGATTTGTATTAATGATATTTACAAAGGGACATGTTCAATTAATTATTTAAAGATAACGATTGATTGTCCTTAGTCAAAGTCGAATATTTTCTTTCTCCTTTTTTTGCTTCTCTTTTCTCTTCTTCTTTTTTTTTTTTTTGGACATTTTTCCGTGTCGAAAAAAAACAAAACAAAAAAAAAAAACTCGTATGCTTTAATATTTCGTCAAATTTAAAGGTTCTTACCTTTATAACGAGTCGTTTTAAAAATGCTCGACAATTTTCGCTAAGGTTTTAAGGTTTTAAGAACAAATCCCGGCGTAATTAACAACGACGATTAATTTCAAACGATCATACTGCCGACAGGAACAATCGAAATTACATTATTCGTTAGCGACGAAAATGCGGGCTTATGATTCATCTCTCGTTAACGAGAATCGTCCTTTTCTCTTTATCTCAACGTTTCAACGAGACGAAGCGTGTCGACGACGTCTTTGAATCGTTTGCCGTTCGCAACCGAGTACGCAAAGGACGAACTTACAGAAAAGGAAAATTGATGTCAAGAGGAGAAAAGATGAGAAGAGAAGAGTGAAGAAAGAAAAGAGAAAAGATATATATATATATATATATATATATATATATATATATATATAATATGAAAGAGAGAGAGAGAGAGAGAGAGAGAGAGATGCCAGAGTTGGTCGTCTTACCAATGGAAAGTGCCGTTCAAGCGAAGGGTCTGATCGAATTACACACGTCCCTTACCATTCCTCATACCATCCCTTATCTCATCGAGCGAAACCCGAACCTTCAAGGAATACCGAATCGCCAATGTTCGGAATCGTTCGATCCCATGGAACGTCCCATAGGAACTTACAACGACGATCCCGATGGATCCATCGGGTCGTTCCTATTCCTCTTGGAAAGGAAAAAAACTGAAAATTTGTTTGACAATAGTTAACTACCGGCCACACAATACCGGCTATACAAATCTTTCTTCTGCGTTTTTCACGTATAGAATTTATTTGTTGATCTGAAAAAGTCGACAAATCGTTACTTGGAAAAACTTTTTTTTTTTTTTTAATTATTACGATTCCTCGAAAGAAAAAGGAAATGGTGGAAAGAAGAAGAAAAGCTGAGTTCGTGATTTATGGAAAAAAAAAAAAGAAAAGAAAACAAAACAAAAGAAAAAGAAGAAGAAATAGAAGAAAAGGAGAAAAAATTAGAATAAAAAGAAAAAAAAATTGAAAAAGGAAAAGATAGAGGACGTGCGTCTCTCGAAAGGATAGAGAATTATCGACGGGAATTTGTGACCTTGAAAAAAATGGTCTTCCTTAATGAGAAACCCGAAAACGGTCAGGGCTATTCAGTCGTATCAAGGGAAAACGTTTCGCTTCTTTTGATTGGGCAGTTCGCAGGCGGAAAGACGTTCAGCTCCGGAAACCACATCGAGCGAAAACAGACGTCCGCGTCTTGGCGTCGCGTGGGTGGAATAGAAATGCGTTTGGTTGATCCATTCCAAAGGCGAGCCTTTCGCTTTTTCTTCTCCTTCTTCGTCTTCTTCTTTTTCTTCTTCTTTCATATCATTTTCTTCCCTTTGTGTTCTTTACGAGACACTATTCTTTGCTACTGTTACGCCCACACATATTTGAGAAAAAAGTAAGCCCTGTATCACCTGTTCTATATTTTCTTATCTCGATATGTTCAATTTTTTTTTTTTTAATATATATCTTCTTCCTGACTGTAAATGACAAAAAAAAATTTCGCGTCAACGTGTA